CGTTTTGATTTATCGACCGGTCATCGTCGCCATCGGATCGCCACCGACAGTTCATGGCACTGGAACGCTTCTGCATTCTCAAGAGCGCGACTAAAGGCGTGGGGCACCGAACGTTACCCCGCCTCACCGAACGTCTGAACATTCAAGTCCGATATCTCAGCATCGGAGCCATGGCGCCACGAAAGACGTGGGCACGACAAGCTCAACATCACCTTCACTTCTCCCCAGTACATGAATACTTTTCATTCTCTTCGTGCCGTAAGCACCGAATTGTCATTTGCACTGCAAAATTGCAGGCATTCACTGCCCTGAACACTACCATATTCACACGGAAAACAATGCAGTCGAAAGTGTAGGTCTACTGCCATTGTCTGTTCAAGCATGCACCTACATGTACCAGCTTAAGAGTTAGCAGCACTTCCAAGAGCACCCCCTTTTGAGTCTCAACGGGGAATCATCGTTGGTGATCAAAGTGCACGCTCTTAAACTCGATCATGCCGAGGCTTTGCGCTTTGCGAAGCGGGAGGATCAGATAAAACTAAACCGGATTCGATTGACTTTATGCTCACATTTGGTGGCCTCGCCGCGCTATTGTATCTCTCACTCTGTCTTTCACCTGCGACGACGCACACCGCGTACGCTTCATCACGTTGGCTCGATCTATTACGAGCTTCTTGGAATTTGCCTGGGACTTAAATGACTTGGATACCGCCGTCGCGCATGATGTCCCGCTGCCGTTGCTGGTTCTTGCGGTAGCTTACGAATACTGCCAATGCGGCCACAGCCACGACTCCCAGCACGATAATACCGGCGATACCTGCTGGAGAGATCGCAGCACCCGCGGCAGTAGCGACACTTGACTCGTTCTTGGCCGAGACTGCAGTCGTCGGGCCCGTAGCCGAGGATGCCGGCTTGCTGCTTTCCTGTTTAGTTGAGTCCTCCTCCTGTTTAGTCGAGTCCTCCTGCTTGGTCGAATCCGTGCTGGGGGTGCTGCCCGAGCTGGTCGTCGCCGATCCCGATGACGGCGTCGATTCCTGGTTCCTGAAAGACGATCCCGTGGCTGAGCTGGGCTTCACTGTACCCGGTTCCTCATCGTCGGTTGCCGACTCTGGCGAGGACCCAGAGCTCGTCTCGCCGGATGAGGTCGCCTCAGCGGATCCACCAAGCAGCGACGAGCTGGTCTCATCGGAGAGGCCCGAGGAGGCCAAGCTTTCACTCGAAGACGATTCGGTCATCGAGCTTGAAGCGTACGTCGTGTCTGCCGATCCCGAAGTGGGAGACACCTCGGATCCACCGCCAAGCTCTGAAGATGCGGTCTCTTCAGAGGTTCCAGGAGATGATCCGGAGCAAGACTCGACCTGCAACGGCGTATCCTCCGAGGAACCGCTGCTAGGAGTTTCGCCATACAAATCGGTCGAAGACTCCGAAGTCGATGCCGAAGTGGAGGCGGTGTCTTCGAGCGAGGACGAGGCTGTTTCCCCAGACGACTCAGTCAATAAATCGTCACCAGAGGACTCTGAAACACCCAAGCTACCGCCAAGCATTGACGAGCTGGTTTCATCAGTTGTAGAGCCCGACGACGTCTCCGCCTCGAGCGAACTCGTGGTCTGTTCGGTGTCTGCGCTGGATTCCTCCGGGGTCGTCTCGTACATCGCTGATCCATCCGGGGAGCTCGTAGTCGCGGGTGCGTTTCCAGGAGTATCTCTCGCCTTCGCTGCCTTCAGGATCGTGGACATGATGTCAGCAACGAACGTCGGGTACACCTCGTACGTCCATTTGCCGTCCGGGATCGGCGCAATCAGGTCGTTTTTCGAGTCTCCTTCCACAACACACAGACCAAGCTGAGCTGTGGTACCGGTCGGACACTGCGTCGCCTGGGCGTAGTGAACGAACCACGCCGACTTGCCGTCGTTGCCGGCCGGGGAGTATTCACACGCCACCATCGATCCGTCGGAGCAACTGGACATGGCGCATCCCACACCAGTTGTCGAGGCCCAGATCACCTGTGTGTACGAGTTATAGAGTCCTGCGCCTACAGCGTCGCCCTCCTTTGACGG